AACATCCACCTCCCAAATTCAAGCGATTCTCCTGCCTCAGCCTCCTGAGTAGCTGGGGTTACAGGCATGCACCACCATGCTTGGCTAATTTTTTTTTTTTTTTTTTTCAGCACAGACCGAGTTTCACCATGTTAGGCTAGTCTCAAACTCCTGACCTCAGGTGGTCCACCCGCCTCAGCCACCCAAAGTGCTGGGAATACAGGCATGTGCCACCACGACCAGCCCTCTCGGCTCCCTTTTTGTGACAACTAGAGTTTGTCCATGTCTCCACCCGCTAGGATAAGCCCAGAGCCGATGTAAAAGTCTTCGTGGAAGATGCATGTCAGGGAAGGAGGGTGGGTGGTGGACCAAGTGGCTCTCCTGGCCCAGCTCCTGGATCCTGGCTCCCTCACTGCCCCATGACTGGCCCTCACCCACGGAGCCCACAGTGTGGGTTTTGCCCAGGCCTGAAGTCCGGTTGGATGCTGTCCACTTCTGGAATAGCTGCTGAAAGACGGCCGACTCAGCCCCATCATTCTGCACCTCCACCTGTGTGCTTGGTGGGTACTGCTTGGCTTTGATGAAGTTCTGGGAAGAGAAAGGGCTGGAAGCTATGCCCCTCCGCTAGTCCCCACTCCCAGTGCAAGCCAAAACCTGGCTCTAACCTAACCAGATCCACCATCAGATCTACCCCTGGCACCAAAACTGAACCCAAACCCAATCCCAATGCTAATCCCCAACCTAACCCTACTCTGACCCCCAGCATCAAGGTCAAATCTGATACTGCCTGAAACCTAATACTGGCCTCAAGACTCACTCTGACCTCAACCTCAAATCTAATACCCAAACACAACTCTGACCCCAATCCCAAAGCCAAATCTAACTCCTAAGGTGACCCTACCTCAATGCTAATCCTAATGCCCAGTCCCCAATCCAACACTGGCACTGGCCCCAAGCCAGTTAGGGTTATGGCTCCAGTCCCAGCAATGACCCCAAACTCTGACTTGGTCCTGGTCTGAGCTGACCCAATCCCCTTCTGTAGGAAGCCAGCCTCCTTCCATTTCTCCTTCCCTTCTCTAAACTCAGCTCAGGTGCAGGGAGTTGAGAGCCCATATCCTGAGGTGGCCCCAGGGTTGTCTGGTGGTTGACTCCCTGGTGTGCAGAGAACCCCCAAGATGACTACAGAATGGCCCCTCAGGCCCCTCCCATTGGGCCGTGCCCAGCCCTCATCCTGCCGCTCCCAGCCTTCCCTGCCTCTGCCTTGGCGCTATGCCCTGGTCTGAGCCTGCCTGCCCACCCCATGCAGCTATCTGCTCTCTCCCTCCCATCACTCTGCCCTCCTCCTGGATCCCCACCCCTACCAGCGCATGGCTCATGGCTCCCTTCTTCTCTTGCTCATTGGCTTTCTTCCCCTTCCATACGTAGATCTTCAGGCCCCCCTGGTCCAGGATGTAACAGTCCTAGAGTCGGGAGAGGTAAGAGTCTGATGGAGCTGGAAGTGCTGGACTGGGACAGCCTCACACACAAAAAGAGTCTCTCCCTCCCATGCCCACCCCAAGCCCCCTGGAATTTTTCTGGCTTGAGGGAGAGGGGGCCAGGCTGCAGTGGGCTGGGGGGTCTCCAGACCCTCTCACATCGTGACTGAGCAGGTCCTGCGTCAGTGGCCGTGTGGCGACTTCCCTCACCACCAGATTCCCCTCAGCGTCAGACACACTGCAGGACAGAAGCAAGGCATAGATGGAGAGGGGCCCCAAGCCCCTCAGCCAGGGCACCTGCTCCCAGGGAGTCCCCAGCACCCAGGAAGACCCCACTGGGCACTTACTGGTACAGTTTGAGTGCAGCCTTGAGTGCCGGCTCCACCACTGTGTCGGGCACAGCTGCCTTCAGCTCCCCGCGCTTGCCCAGCACATGGTTCATCACCTCCATCAGCTTCGGGGATGCCGATTCATTCTCTCCGTCCACCACGCCTACATAGGTGCGCCCTCCCCGCTCCTGGTCTCGGATCTCTTTGGCCAGAGTCATGCCCTGCAGGAACGCCCCTGGTGACCCATCGGGAGTAGTAGGGGAACAAGGCAGTGTCTGCCACCCCACACCCTGCCAGGCAAGCCCAGACCACCTACAGCAGCAGCCACAGGGGTTGAGACCCCTGCCCTGCTTCTCCCTGTCGGAGGGGTCAAGCTTTTAAGGCATGTAAGGAAACCAGGGAGAAGGCAGCTGGGAAAGCAGGTTTCCCCACCGTCAGGAAGGTGCTCAAGCAGGCTTGCTGGGCTTTCTGTTCTGACAGTGTGGGAAATGTATGCTTAGACTTCACAGTTCTGGACAACAGCTGAGCCCCAAGGATCACAGTACTCAATCTCTTCCGCCGGGTGCGGTGGCTCACACCTGTAATCCCAACACTCTGGGAGGCCGAGGCGGATGGATCACCTGAGGTTAGGAGTTCAAGACCAGCCTGGCCATGGTGAAACCCCGTCTCTACTAAAAACACAAAAAAATTAGCTGGGCATGGTAGTGCATGCCTATAATCCCAGCTACTGAGGAGGCTGAGGCAAGAGAATCACTTGAACCCAGAAGGTGGAGGTTTCAGTGAGCTGAGATCATGCCATTGCACTCCAGCCTGGGCAAAAAGAGCAAAACTGCATCTCAAAAAAAAAAAAAAAAAAAAATCTCTTTGCCCCCAAACATGCTTGCAGCCTCACAGTGCACACACAGCGTCAATGTGCTGTGAGTATAAACACACATATGCCCATGCCCATTTCATTCACCACTGGATCACCAAGGCTTAGCACAGGCTCTGCCACACTGTAGAGACTCATTCTATCTGAGTGGATTGACCACAAGTTCTCACACACTAACTCCAACATGCACACCTGCCCCAAACACATGGAGAGTGATCCACCCTCAAACACACTGTCCCCAATAGTCAGTGGGGAGAGGCCTGGGGAAAGGAGCAGGTGGGGGCAGTCAAGGATTTGAGAGGGAGGTGTGGTACATGGGAAGGTTTACCCTGAGTCTCTCCATGCGGTTACTTTCAGGTCCATTCCACTGGATGATAAGCTTCCCGAGGTCCAGGAGGAAAACATCCCCTCGGTTGAAACTCTTCCAGGACATCTCTACCTAGGGAGCCACGGGGGAAGTGCAGACCCCACTCAGAGCTCGCCTATCATCCATCATCTTGGCCACCCCTCCTTGCCCCTCACCCCTCCTCAGCCCCTGCCCTCCGCCCTGGGCCTCACAGCCCTGGCCGATGCTCCAGTGGGGCCTGCCTACCTCTCCAGCTACCACGTTCCTCTTGCCCTTGACATGCAGCAGCCTCTGGACATCATAGGAGTTGGTCTCCACGTGATTCATGCCAGAAGCCACGCCTCCTTTCCGGATCCTGAGAAGAGGTGAGCAGACCCAGGGGAGTGGGCTGGGAGGTGTGCCTGGCCCTTGTTCTCCCAGGTCCTGGCTGCCACACTGAGGTCACCTGAGGGCCAGGCTGGGAGTAGGCGAGGTGAATGAGGTGCTGAGGATGCAAACTTTAGGGAGTCACTCACTGTCAGGTCCTGAAAGTGCAAGGTTGGCCTGTGGCATGCCCTTGAACCACCCTGACAGTCAGAGCAACCTTAAACTCTGCACCCTAGATCTTCACTCATCTCGCCATTGTCCCTGCCCTGTGGAGAGGCCTGCAAAGAAGGGTCATGATATATGAAGAGTAGGAAATGTGTTAATAGGCCAGGTGCGGTGACTCCTGCCTATAATCCCAGCACTTTGGGAAGCCGAGGTGGGCAGATCATTTGAGGTCAGGAGTTCCAGACCAGCCTGGCCAACATGGTGAAACCCTGTCTCTACTAAAAATACAAGTTAGCTGGGCATGGTGGCAGGTGCCTGTAATCACAACTACTCAGGAGGCTGAGAAAGAAGAATCGTTTGAACCCCGGGGGCGGAGGTTTGCAGTGAGCCTAGATCATGCCACTGCACTACAGCCTGGGCGACAAGAGTGAGACTCCATCTCAAAAAAAAAAAAAAAAAAAAAAAGGAAATGTATTAATAAATAGGGACAGAATCCTGAGGACAGGGGATCAAAGTGGAAGAAAAAACAAGAAGGGAGAGGTGCCACTCCAGTGCCCACAGGAATGGACTACTGCTGTAGTGTGGGAAGAGAAGAGCAAGACAAAAAAGAAGAATGGGAACTGTGGCTAATTAGAGAGCCCCCGGCTTGTCCTACAGGTCAGTAACAACTCAGCTCCAGAGTGTGTGTTTTCCTGGGGAAAGCTAAGCTAGAACTTCAACTTGTACAGAAAAGCCAGCAGTCTGGTCTGGGAGTGGTAGCTCATGCCTGTAATCCCAGGACTTTAGGAGGCTGAGGTAGGAGAATCACTTGAGCCCAGGAGTTTGAGACCAGCCTGGGCAACAGAGCAAGACCTTCATCTCTACAAAATATATATATAAAAAAATTAGCTGGGCGTGGTGGCTCAGGCCTGTGGTCCCAGTTACTCAAGAGGCTAAGGTGGGGCCGGGCGTGGTGGCTCACACCTATAATCCCAGCACTCTGGGAAGCCGAGGCGGATGGATCACTTGAGGTCAGGAGTTCGAGATCAGCCTGCCTATGGTGAAACCCTGTCTCTACCAAAAATACGAAAATTAGCCAGACCTGGTGGTGTGCACCTGTAATCCCAGCTACTGGGGAGGCTGAGGCACGAGAATTGCTTGAGCCCAGGAGGCGGAGGTTGCAGTGAGCCAAGACTTTGCCACTGTGCCACTGTACTCCAGCCTGGGCAATAAAGCAAGACTCCATCTGGAAAAAAAAAAGGAAGAAAAAGAAAAGCTGGCAGTCTTGGTTTTTAGTGTGGTAGGCCTGCATTAGAGATGGGGGAGCAGCCATTTGTCTATTGACCAGAGTTGGGCGATTAGGCACTGAGCTCTCCAGGACATTCAAGTAGGAGCTGATTTACAGAGATTCACAAGAGTTACAGAATTTCAGAACAGCCTCCAGACCAAGGGCAGAGCAGTGGCAGAAATAAGAGTTGGGGAGTGGAAAAGTGAAGGACAATCACCAAAAACTCATGAGGGTCCCCCTCGTGCCTCCCCCCACAGTTCCGGGGTCCCTTCCCCGTCCCAGGTCACCTCCCCCTGCTCCAGTGTTCTTCCCAGACCCGAACAGGTCTGGGTGTCCCTGCCTCTTCAGCCCCAACCTCTCCATCCCTACCACTCATCCTCATTCCCTCAGCCTGCAGCCCGCCCTCCCTACACAAGGCCTTGCTTGAAGTAGCCTCGGAAGGCCTCGCTCTCGTTGCCCTGGACCTCGCGGTGCTGCACAGCCCGGCCCTTCAGGAAGTCATCCATTTGTGTGGTGTAGATGGCAGCTGCCCCCTGCTCATCCAGGGATGAGTCCTGGCCAATCCAGTAGTGGATGTCATAGGACAGGTTGCTGGCTGTCTTGTGGATCTAGGGAAAAGGTGTCCAGTGTACCCGAGACCCTGGGCTCCCATAGCCCCTCCCACTCTGTGTGACCTCCCACACACGTGCCGTCCAGGACCATGGGGGAGCATGGCACAGGGCAAGTGCACTAGGCTAGTGGTTAGGGGCCCTGAGTCATGGCCCAGCTCTACCACTGACTCTCCGAGACATGGCTTCTCCTCTCCAGGCCTCACTTGCCTCACCTCAGAAACAACTTGCTTATGCCAGGCACAGTGGCTCACGCCTGTAATCCCAGCACTTTGGGAGGTCAAGGCGGGCGAATCACCAGGAGTTCAAGACCAGCCTGGTCAACATGGCAAAACTCTGTCTTTAATAAAAATATAAAAATTAGCCAGGTGGGGTGGCGGGTGCCTATAATCCCAGCCACTCGGGAGGCTGAGACACGAGAATCACTTGAACCCGGGAGGCAGAGGTTGCAGTGAGCCAAGATCGTGCCACTGCACTCCAGCCTGGGCGACAGAGCGAGACTATCTAAAAAATAATAATAATAAATACATAAAATAAAAATTTAAAATGAGTCAATATAAAGAAAAAAATACAAATGTCTTAATAGTACAGGTGGTACCAGGGTGTGGTGAAAATCAAGGTGATATGAAGATGACTACGAGGCTGGGCATGGTGGCTCATGCCTGTAATCCCAGCATTTTGGGAGGCGGAGGCAGGTGGATCACCTGAGGTCAGGAGTTCAAGACCAGCCTAACCAACATGGTGAAACCCTGTCTCTACTAAAAAATACAAAAAAATTAGCTGATTGTGGTGGCACGTGCCTGTAGTTCAAGCTACTCTCAAGGCTAAGGCAGGAGAATCGCTTGAACGTGGGAAGTGGAGGTCGCAGTGAGGCAAGGTCGCACCACTGCACTCCAACCTGGGCAACAGAGCGAGACTCCATCTGAAAAAAATTTTAAAGAAAGAAGATGACTATGGATTTTGGAAATGTGGACTCAAGTTAGGGTGATATGGCAACAATGCAGAAGTTTCCCTAAGAATGTGAATCCACAGAAATTGGCCTTAGCTGGAAGCCCAGTGGATCAAGGGCAGCAAGAGCCTCTGACCTCTGTAAAGCCACCACAAGGTTGGGCACTTGGGCATACCCAGTAAATTCTGTCCTGGGGTGAAGCCAGGCCAGCTCTCCCCATGGTCCCCAGCCTGTTTCCTCCCTGACACCACAGTGGGTTTTGCTCTCTGCTCAGCCTCCTCCTCTGCCCCTGACTCACAGCCAGGATGATGTAGCAGTCACCATCGAAGAAGCTCCCAAAGGTGCTGGAAGGAACAGGCACCATCTGCATGGCCTAAGGAGAGAAAAGGGGTCAGAGGGGCTTCCCTGGACCACCAGGACCCCTAGGCCTGGGAGGAGGGCCCAGGGTAGGAGGCATCGGGAAAAAAGAGCCGGGCCCAGGAATGAAAGGAGAGAAAAGGAAGAGAGAGGGAAACTGTGTGAGGGGCGGGAGAAGGAAAATCAATGGTGGGAAAGGAAGGGACCAGTGAGGAAGAAGAAGTGGAGAGGAAGGTTGAGAGACAGAGGGAGAAGAAATGGAGAAAGGGAAAGGGAGACCATCCGGGGTGTGGATGATGCGGGAGGTGAGGGGCTGAGCTCTCAGGGGCTGCGGGGCAGGAGTAGAGGAAACTAAGAGAAATCCCAGGCCTCTGCCTCGCCTCCCTCCACCCCAGGCCTGCGAGGCCCCCATGCCCAGACAGGGCCTCACCTCGATCCTCCATATCTGCAGCCCCGGGGTGGTGATGTTGAGAGAGCCTTTGACTTGGGCGCTCAGCTTGGTCATGGTGAGTGAGCCTGGGGGAGAAGGCATTGGGAGCAGGGGCACCCTGAGTTCGGATGCTGCCCTTCCAGTCTGCCCCTAGAGAACTCCCAACAGTGCCAGGAGGTCGCAGGCTCAGGGGCCTGGGGGAGCATAGAGGGTTACTCCTCACTCAGTGACCATTTCTGCTTGTTTAGTACCGAATCCGCAGTGTCTAGCACAGTGACTTTGCTCGATAAAGGAAGAGATGGGGAGGGAAGGAGTGAGGGATGGATGAATGAATGAATGAATGGATGAACAGAGTGAACCCTCCCACTGTGAACCACTCTCTGCCCGCTAAACTGGAAGGAACGCCCCTCCCCAAGCTTTTCTCCTCACGTTAGCCCTTTCTCCATTTTTTTTTTTTCCTTTTCTTTTTGAGATGGAGTCCTGCTCTGTCACACAGGCTGGAGTGCAGTATCGTGATCTCAGCTCACTGCAATCTCTGCCTCCCAGGTTCAAGTGATTCTCCTGCCTCAGCCTCCCGCATAGCTGGGATTACAGGCATGAGCCACCATGCCTAGCTAATTTTGTATTTTTAATAGAGACGGGATTTCCCCATGTCGGCCAGGCTGGTCTCAAATTCCTGACCTCAGGTGATCCACCTGCCACAGCCTCCCAAAGTGCTGGGATTACAGGCGTGAGCCACCGTGCCCAACCAGCCCTTTCTGCTTGGACCTGTAGCTGTGTTCACTCCAGCTGCTCATGAGCCTCACCTGGGGAGCTTCTGAACGTGCTGATGCTCCAGGCTCTGGCGGCATCCCTGGGGATTCTGATTTAATTAGGCCAGGGTGGGGCTGGGCATGGGTGCTTTGTTTTCTGCCTTTTGGGAGGTGGAGCATGGGTGCTTTTAAAACTCTCCAGTGATTCTGATATGAGCCAGGGCAGACAGCCACTTGTGCCCAGTTATTCTCCTCCCTAGTTTTAAGGCTCCTCCTCACCAGGCCAGAGGCCACCCCGATCTCCATGGAGCCTATCACCCAGCCTGGCAGGGAGCTGCCCTCCATGAATGCTCCTTGAACTGATTAATGAATGAAAGGGCATGTGGCCGACAGGTCAGGCCTCCACTCGCTGACAGCCTGAAATCTCACTATCTAATCTCTCCTTGCACCTTGACTTTGAGTCACCTCTTAGTGACTTGGCCTTTTAGTACTTAGAAACTCCCTTTTCTGAGCCCTGAGGAGTGGCTGCTGCTTCCCTGGCATTCTAGAGTTTGAGGTAAGGCCCTGCTCAATCTCTTGATCAGTGCCTCCTCTGGCTGATCATAAGCAGCTTGCTGTGTATCTGTAGGATCCCCTTGGGCTTGGGTCCCGTCTGATGGCCTGTTGGCTATGGCCTTCTCCATCAGGCAACCATGATATCCTCCATCAGGTATTTTTCAACCCACCAAGTCCCCAGGGCTCCCAGGATTCCTGGTCCAGCAGAACCAAGCTGGGTATAAAGGAGGAGACCATTTTCTGTTTCATTTCTATCATCACCTTTGTCTCTGTCCCCTCCTTTCATCCATCCATCCATCCATCTATCTATCTATCTATCTATCTATCTATCTATCTATCTATCTATCTATCTATCTTTTTATCTTTTTGAGAAGGAGTTTCACTCTTGTTGCCCAGGCTGGAGTGCAGGGGCGCTATCTCGGCTCACTGCAACCTCCGCCTTCCAGGTTCAAGTGACTCTCCTGCCTCACCCTCCCGAGTAGCTGGGATTACAGGCGCAAGCCACCAAGCTCAGCTAATTTTTGTATTTTTAGTAGAGACAGGGTTTCACCATGTTGGCCAGGCTGGGCTTGAACTCCTGACCTCAGGTGATCCACCCACCTCAGCCTCATAAAGTGCTGGGATTACACGCATGAGCCACCTTGCCCGGCCCTGGCCCCCTTTTTCTTTGACACTCACTAGCTGTATGAACGTGGACTTCCTTCTTCATCTATGAGCTGAGGGAGTCAACTTAGGGGGTCAACTAAATTGATGATCTCTAAAGTCTCACCCAGGGACATGCTGATTCCAGGGGTAACTGGCAGCAAGAGAAATAGAGGGTGGACATAAGGAGGCACTTCTTGCTCATCAGAGGGGGGATTCAGGGCAGCAGGGACTTGAAAAAACCAGTGCTCCCCCTCCCCAGAGAGAAATGAGGATTGGCCAGCCCCCACAGGCCAAAGGTGGGCAAGGGGACTCAGGAGTGGCAGCTCTGAGACGTGGCCCCCCTACCTGGTGTATACCCTCCAGCTGCTCCTGCCCTGTACCCATGGTTGGTCAGAACAGATGCTTCTCCTCCACCCCTTGGTAGGGCCTCCTCCTCAATTCTCCTGTCTTCCCTGAACTGCCAGGAAGACCAGGGCCTCTCACTTCCCCCAACCCTGCCACCATGGGCCCTTGTTTGGATTTGAGTTGTCTCCTCCTTCAGCCTGAATTCACTGGCTTCGTCAACTCCTGGTACTTTCCCTTCTGTGTCCCCAGACCAGGGAAGGGGACCGTCACCCCAAGACCCCAACACCAGCCATCTGTGCAGCATCCTGGACTCCTTTCGCTTCTGCCCTTCTGTCCACCTAAACTCCCTTGAGTCTCCCCACTACACACAGCCCCCTGGCCCCTCTCTGCTGGCACTCTGCCCTCTAGAAATGCCACGCTGCCAGCAGGCCCCACCCCCATGCTGCCTCTCACCCCACGCCTGCTCGCACTGCTCCCACATGGAACGTTCTCCCCACCTTTCCCATACTAACATGCTCTTCTAGACTCAAGTTAGATCTCATTTCTTCCAGGAGACCTTCCCAGAATCCTCAGGCTGGACAAGGAGCCCCTCGGCATCCTGGACTGTCCCCTCTCTTGACCTCCTGACCACATGGTGATGAAAGAACCTGTTTGTAAGTTTGAGGTCCCTGAGCTCCAAGACCTAGATATGTTTGTCTTTGTAGCCCCCAGCTCCTAGCACATAGTAGGTGCTCAACAAATACTCATGATGCTGAAAGGCTGAACTGTGGGATGGAAGGAGGACCCTCCCAGGGCATTGGAGGGGTTTGGGCTCCTACTGTCTGCAGGCCATCCAGGCCATCTTGTGTTTCTTTATTTTTATTTTTATTTTTTTTTGAGACAGAGTCTCACTCTGTTGCCCAGGCTGGAGTGCAATGGTGCGATCCTGGCTCACTGTTATCTCTGCCTCTGGGTTCAAGCGATTTTCGTGCCTCAGCCTCCTGGGTAGCTGGGACTATAGGTGTGCGCCACCACACCCGGCTAATTATGTATTTTTAGTAGAAACTGGGTTTCGCTATGTTGGTCAGGCTGGTCTTAAACTCCTGACCTCAAGTGATCCACCCACCTCAGCCTCCCAAAGTGCTGGGATTCCAGGCATGAGCCGCTGCGCCCAGCCCACCTTGACTTTCTTATCTGAGCCCTGTTGTACTCGAGGTGTGGCTCTGTTGTATGTGGGGTGCTGCCATGGCCCCTAGTTCCCAGTGGTGCAGCTCTGAGCTAGACAGGAACGTGGTGGGGCAGTGAAGGTAAAGTCCCACCCCTCAGACAAAAGACATCCTCCTGCTTCCCAGGCTTGTGATAGCAGAGGGAATAGACACCCACCCAAACCCTCCAGCCCAAAGGCTCTGCCCCTCAGTGGCCTGCAGGAGGCCCCAGCAGATGATGTCCCAAGAAGACAGTAGCCAGTGTGTCCTCAGAGCCTGGTCTGCACCTGGCCCCCATCCCTAGTTCTGCTAAATGGGCCCACAGTGGCTGGGGAGGCTGATGGGGCAGCTCCAGGTAGAGGGAAGATGGGGCAGAGGTGCATGCTCAGGTGTCCCGGCATGGCCCAGGACCTAAGGCCCTGCCACCTCTAGCCCCTTACCTCTGCTTTTGCCTCTGTCTTTGCCCATTCAATTTCTCATGGCTGTTGCTCATATGCTACGAGTGAGGAGGCAGGGCCCTGAGGTCCCAGGAGTGTCAGAGGAATGGTGACACAAAGGATAAAACACTCCAGATGAAGAAGAAATGGGCAAAGAGATGAGCTGGTGGGGAGGGGGCTCCGGGAGTGAGGTCAGGGAGACTAACTAGTCCCGGTCTGCCCAGGACTGTCCTGGTTTTAACTCTAGAAGTTCCAGGGCAATTGGGATGGTGACACCCAAAGTGAGATGGGGCTAGCCACAGATAGGAGACTGAGAGAGCCATTGCCTGGGGCAGGGCCAGCAAAAGTTTCTCCCTGGAGGCCCAGGACAGACATGCGGGGCTCCCAGCACTTCTCACACTATCCAGAGTGCCAAGCCTCCCTCTCGAGCCCATACCAAGGTGCTCCAGGAGGCCCCAAGTTGCCTGAGAAAAGCAGAGGACCCCATCCCCTCACACCATCTAAGGTCTCCATGTGTTCCCACCAGGTTGCCTTACCTGTCTTGGGGAGGCAGCTGCCACCTGGGAGATCTCAGGGAATTGTGGCAAGCTGGCTGCAGAAGAGCGACCTTTGTCCCCACCCCCACCCCCTAGGAACTGCCTTCACCATATAAGGGAAGATAGGGCCCCAGAGAGGTGAGGGGGTGGGGAGGCAGGTGCTGCCAGGTCCCTGGAGCCCAGAGCCCTTGACAGCCTGACAACGAGAGCTGATGTGCCCCACCCTTGGCTTTTTTTTTTTTTTAAGCCTCACTCTGTCATCAGGCTGGAGTGCAATGGTGCGAACTCGACTCACTGCAACCTCTGCCTCCCAAGTCCAGGTGATTCTCCTGCCTCAGCTTCCCAAGTAACTGGGACTACAGACATGTGCCACCATGCCTGGTTAATTTTTGTATATTTAGCAGGTAGGGTTTCACCATGTTGGCCAGGCTGGTCTTGAACTCCTGACCTCAAATGATCCAGCCGCCTAGACCTCCCAAAGTACTGGGATTACAGGTGTGAGCCACTGCGCCCAGCCCCTCCCTTGGCTTCTGAGTGAGCAAGGGATGGGGTGCTTTTTTTTCTGCCCAAAGCCCAGGACCTCACCACAGGCAGACAGCACTGTCCAGGCAAGGTCAGCAGCGCCTGAACTTTCCCTTTACCAACCAAGAGAAGGAGGCTCAGC